TCAATTCTACTCCATCCCCCCCTCGAGCGCGCCTTCCACGACGACCCTGTTTCCTCGTATGTGTCACCATTCCCGCGCCACCCCGTGTGCCAATATGTGCGTGCGAACTCCAGTCGTCACGCGCGAGGCTCATTGTGCCCGACTATCAGCGAGCGTCACCCCGCGCCCCACACCGCCCCACCACGCCCCACCACGCCCCAGCCCGCCGCGCCTCGCCCCGTCGCCTCGCCTGCCATCACTCGTCGATGAAATCCCCCCGCTCTCTCTCTCTCTCTCCCTCAATTCCTTCTCCCCTTCCGCGACGTCGACGACGTCATCGCCTCTTACCGTTTTCACTCAGCGAAAGGGAAGAGCGGATCACGCCATTCTGCATCGGTAACATGAGAGAGAGAGAGAGAGAGAGAGAGAGAGAGAGAGAGAGAGAGAGAGAGAGAGAGAGAGAGAGAGAGAGAGAGAGAGAGAGAGAGAGAGAGAGCTGTTGCAGCAGCAGGAAAACATTTTTTCTCAATTTACCTGCCATCTCCCCACCAGCACCGGCAACCGGCGCCTCGCGCCTCGCCAACGACGACACTGACACAAGAAGAGGAAACCCGCCGGCGCTACCCTCCCCTATGGTCACTCATTTCCTCTCATGTTACTGAACGGGCCGGGGTCGGCGCCTGCTGGAGGTCGAGCCGAAGGTCGACCCACACTCGGCGGGCCGGCTGCTCGGCTCGCCGCCCGGCCGACACGCTGTAAATCTCAGTGAGTGATCTTTCGGTGCGAATCGGCATCTAATGGAGCGGGAACAAACCATGCCCCTCCCTCCCCACACACTGTCTGCCCGCCGACCCGACCCCACCCCGTGCGAGAGAGTCTTGCTCCTCCTGATGACCTCCGGGGGGCACGTCGAGGTCGAGCGGCTGGCTCGCTCCGGAAATCCGAGCCCCTCCTAGTAGCCCAGCAGCGCGTGAGTGACGGGTTCGTTGTGTGTGTGTGTGTGTGTGTGTGTGTGTGTGTGTGTGTGTGAGAGAGAGAGAGAGAGAGAGAGAGAGAGAGAGAGAGATATGGGGAGCGGGGGCGATACTTGCGAACTTAGTTGGCGGTGCCGCACGCCGGTTCGTTTTTTTGGACGGACGGCGCCAGGGTCAGCGCGCCCGCCACCAGCCGCGACCAGCTTGTTGCTATCGCTGCTTAATGCGTACCGCCCTATATCGCTCTAGCCTTTTTCAAATCTGATAAATTTTCGGCCCGGTAGCGAGCGCTCGGTTTGTTTTTAACAAAGCGAACTTCAAGTGAGGGATTTTGCACTCTACGCCATATAAGTGAACGTTTTGTTGTACGCGACTGGCGTCGTGTCTCATTCAAGCCCCAGTGAAGTCCCGTTATCCCATTATGTGTCTTTTTCCTAAGGAAAGTGCGGTAGGGAAGGGAGAGAGAGACAGATGAAGAATGAGAGGGAGACAGCGAGAGAGACAGAGACAGAAAGAGGGTTGGAGAAAGGCAGCGCACAACCTCAGCGCTCGCAGCTGCGGCCGAGAGGGGAGCACGGCTTGTGAAGGGCTGGCGGGCCCGGGCGTGCCGGGGGGAAGTGGTTGATTGCGAGTGTCAATCACGTTCTGTCGGTAGTACTCTTTCTTTGCTCGCCTCGTCTATCGCTGTTCGTGTGTGTGTGTCTGTGTGCGTGGTGCGACGGGGGTGGGAGGATGTCCATCGGCCCAGCAGCTGAGGGGCGTAAGGAAGGGGTGGAAGGGAGGGGGGCGAGGCAGGGGACGCTGAGGCTGTACGCCTCGACGCTCACAGTCAACCCCCTCGGCTCGGCAACCCTGCCCCAGCCGCCAGGCCGGGGCCGGGCTGCTGCTGGTGCGGCTTCAGCTGCCTCTACCGCTGCTGCTGCTGCCGCATCTTCCTTGGGGACCTCACCAGAATTATAAGGAGCTTAACGACACATGCGTGCCCCTTCCCCGTCGTCAGGAAGGAGTGGGAGCCTATCGGCGAGCGCGGCGCGCTGGCTCAGCCGGGCAGGGGAGAAAGCAAGAGAGAGGCGCGGACGTGCGTCCTGCTGCTCTCTCCCGGAAGGAAGACGAATATGAAACGTAATGAAAACACAAACACGCGCGCCCAGCATTATGATAAAAGAAGAGAGAGAGAGAGAGAGAGGGGTGGGAGCACAACAAAACGACGAGGTTTTGAACGGAGCGTCGGGCGTTCGCATCTCTGTTGTGTCCGTAAAACATTTGCTCTTAGAAAAATTACTGACGGTGCGCGGGCGCCCGTTGCCCCAGCCAGGAGGTAACGGTTTATATTAGGGACGAGCCCCCCCCCCTTTCTCTCTCTGCCTCTCTCTCCATCTCTCTCCCACTCTCTCTTTCTCACACACACACACACGCGCGCGCGCCTTCGAGCGAGCATGTGTCTGCTCTCTCTTGCAAAATCCCGGCTACGCCACTGGCTTACAACAAGGACACGGAGCGCGGGCAAATTTGTGCCGGAAGTAAATCCCCAGGCAAAGCTCAGCTCAGTAGAAGGGAGCACAGGTGCAGGAGCCCGGTAGGAGCGCCCGCTTCCCCCAAGGCAGGAGGGCACCGGGGTACCGCGGGGTAGTGCGTGGGATGGGGAGCGTCTTTTCGTGTGTACGCGCACGTCTGGAGAGGAGGATGAGAGCGAATGAGAAAGAGAGAGAGAGAGAGAGAGAGAGAGAGGGGGGGGGAGGAGGGCACCTCAATAGCGACGCACTACTTCCACACCATTAAGGCCGCACGCGGCTCGACAGGAGAGACGAGGGCTCTTCTTTCTGCTCGGGGGGAAGCACAGGGGAGGAGGGGGTGGAGGGGGAAGCGAGCGGCTCCATTTTGCCCCACTTTTACTGCCGGCTGGCGACACTGATAATTTTTCGTAGGCTCTTGACTCGGAGTCGCCGCAACCGCCGCCCCCCGGACGCCGCCGCTGTGGCCGCCGCTGTGGTCGCCGCTAGATGGAGGCCGAGGGATATCCGAGATGTGCCCGCGGGCCGTATCTATAGGATTTGTGATGGGCGGTCGTCGGGGGGGTTGATGATCCAATTACGTTGATGCCCCGGCCGAGTGTCGGCCCGTGTCGGCCCGCAAGTGAATGAAGCGCTCTCCCTCCGTATAGTGACCAGCGCTCTCTCTGGTCGGCCGTGTTGGCTGGGGGGCTGGAGGGCGGCGGCTGGTCCGGCAGGGCAGAGGGCCCTCCACAGTAAACAATGGCCGGCGCTGATTGGCTGGCTCGTGTCGTCCATTGTGAGGGATGGCCCTCGCGCCGGGGCCCCCCTGCGGGCTGATGGATAGGCCAGCCCGCAGGGCCGGCCCGTCCTGCGGGCTGGCCTATCCTGCGGGCGGG